AAGCCTCTCCGAGATCTTTCATGTCAAAATTACGCGAGAGTAAGCGCTTGGACTCATGCAACATGTCTAAACTATTACTTGCCAATAGAATGTCATCTACGTAAAGGACAAGTATAGTGAAGTTGCTCCCACTCATCTTGAGGTAGGTGCATTGATCCACTTGATTCTTTATGAAACCTTCTGACTTCAAGACTTGATGTAACTTTAGGTACCATTGACGTGATGCCTGCTTCAACCCGTATATGGACTTCTTTAACTTACAGACTAGGTGCTCTTGACCTTCAGATTTGAATCCTTCGGGTTGTTTCATGAACACTTCTTCATCCAAATCGCCATTAAGGAAAGCGGTTTTGACATCCATCTGATGTAGCTCTAAGTCAAAGTGAGCTAGAAGGGCCATAACGATCCTTAAGGAATCCTTTCGAGAGACAGGAGAAAAGGTCTCTTGATAGTCAATTCCCTCTTTCTGAGTGTAGCCCTTTGTAACCAATCTCGCTTTGTAGCGTTCAATGTTTCCATTCGGGTCCAGTTTTGTTTTGATGACCCATTTACATCCTACGGGTTTTACACCGTTGGGTAATTCAACCAAATCCCAAACATCATTTTTCTTCATGGAGTCAAGCTCTTCAATCATGGCTTTATTCCATTCAGAAGACTGATCACTGTTAATGGCTTCATTATAAGAGGTAGGATCAGTAAACTTTCCAGCATCCATTTCTTCTTCAGTCAGGTAAGTAACATAATCATCAAAGTTAGTAGGCCTTTTAGACCTAGATGACCTCCTGAGCAAATTTTCGGGTTGAGCATTGGCGGCATTGTCTTGATGGTGATCATTTGAGGTGTCTTCATTTCCAGGTACATTTGGAGTAGGAGGTGGTGCAGTGTCCTGCGGATTGGCATTGAGTACAAGAGGAGTAATTGGAGGTAAAGTAATCGACAAGTCTCTCCCCCCGCGTCTTGTACTTCTAGCAATTCATCATAAGGGTTTTCACTGCTCCCACTGACCTTAAAATATTCAAGGAAATGAGCATCTTTGGTTTCTACAATGCGAGTGACGTGGGAAGGACAATAAAATCTGTAACCCTTTGAGTGAGAAGGATAACCAATGAAGTAGCAAGTTACAGTTTTCATGTCGAGTTTCTTCAAGAAGGGATTATAAAGTTTAGCTTCGGCAAGACAACCCCATACTTTCATATATCTTAGACTCGGTTTC